GAAAGTCTAACTATATTTATTAATAGAATTTTTCTAACTATCACTGGGGGTGATGATCACCAGTGACTGAAATTATTACAATCGACCAGCATTAAAAAAATATAGTGCTGGTAAAAATTGATAATTCTGGCCAACGGTGATGATCACCCCCAGTGATTTGAAGTAAAAACCTTATTAATAATTATATAATATTTATTTATAAAAAATTTATTTAAATATATATAATAATGTATTAATAATTATTTATTTTAAATTTTATTAATTAGAAAGTTTAGACATAGTTTAGACATTTAGCTATTGTCGAAACTTTTTATCATAGTTTAAACTATTACTAATTAAAGTTTAGATTTTTGTCAAAAGTTAAAATGAGTTTAGCCAAACAACCTTATTTTAATAATATAATTTTATATATCATATGAATAAAAATGAAAGTGAAAACTCAATATCCTTTTAAATTAACTTTTTACATTCATTTACAAGAAAAATAATTTTGCTTTAAACTTTTATACTTTATTATTGATAGAATATACTCTTATTCCTACAATTATACTTTTTTTTCAAATTTATTTAATTTTCACCACTGGTGAAATTCAAATTTTAATTACCTCTGGTGATGATTTTATTAATTTTTAATTTTTGTTTTACCACTGGTGATTTTTACCATAGTGTTGTATAACGTAATTATTGTATAAGCATATAAATTTTAACTAAATATATATTTATAATACCCATGCACATCATAAAAAATTTGTGCTCTACATATATTAAATAAAGAAGTGATAATTAATGCAGTAATATTTATCCTAACAAATCCTTTACCACAATAGACATAGATTGGGATTTCTTTATAAATTTTTCTGAAGACACCATTTTACCTACAAATTTTTTTATTGAAAGTAATGAAAAAAGCATGTTAGAAGATATTATTACACCTCCCAAGTTTTCTGAATATTTTTTTAATGAATTAGAAGAAAATGTATTAGAAAACATTATTACATCTTCTAAATCTCCTGAACACTTGTTTAATGAACTAGAAGAAGAACTTACAGAACTATTTGACAGGTTAAATGACAGCTTAAACTGTTCTTCATATTAATATAATCTCTGTGTAGGAGATAGTTTTGATGACTGGACATCAGTTGATACATTTTTGCATAATTACTGTTTAGAAAGAGGCTTTGGATACCAGGTTTTTCGTAATGATAAAGATGCAAATAATCATTCTATTACCTAACGCAAATCATTTTATTGTTTTTTTAGTGGTAATTATGAAGCCCGTAAGATTATTAATCAAAATTTGCATCATTCACGCAATTCTAACAAAAACAATTGTGAATGGTATTGTAACTTTTTCTTACCAAAGACAGAAAATAGCCAGAATAAAGTGTATAATATTAGTAGATACACATAATCATGAATTAAATCCTATACAAATAGTATATCTCAATGTTAGATATTGACATTTTAATGATAAGATGATGCAAGATTTAAAGTTTTTTACAGATTGCAAGGTGGCACCTATTATACAGTTAGAAATTTTGAAAAAAAAAACACCCACAACATGTATTCCATAAACAGAATATTTATAACTTAATATACCATTTACGTAAAAATAAAAATAAAAAAAATTCTGATACAAGTTCGTTATTTAATTCGTGATCCGCGTAAAAAGTAGAGAATCTAATTATTAAAAACTGGGGTTAAGTTATATATAGTAATATATAATAGCGCGGAATCTGAAGACGTGGCAAATTAAAGTACGAATTTTTTAAATATGATGTAAAAACTAAAACCATTAGCATAAAATTATACCATTTGGCTAACTTCTTACTGGAAGTCCAGTAAAATTTTCAATAATTAGAAATAACTTTCCTATGAGCCTAAAAGTAAAAATCCATTATTCGCAACGTTAAAAATAAGGCATTTTTTACCTTTAAGCTTATAAGTAAGTCATTTATAGTGCTCAAAAAATTTACCGGACTTTCAATAAAAAGTAAGCTAAATAACATAATTTGATGGCAATAAACTTAGTTTTTATATTATATTTTAACAATTAGTACTTTGGTTTGCCATGACGTCAGATTCTACGCTATTATATAATTACCCCGATTTTTGATATAGGACTCTCTACTTTATTTGCGGATCACGAATTAACAATTTTCTTGAAAAATAATTCAAGATCCAGGTTGGAAGAAGGACTCTGAACAATACATATAACACTGGGATCCAGTTTTGTATAAACTTATTATATAATTTTCCAATAAGTCATATATTTGATTTTGTATAGCCTGTTAGTAATTTTTCGGTAAGTCAGATATGTATTTGTATAACAGTGATAATCTTTAAATCAAATGAAATCTTTATTTTGTATAATGATACTTGTGTAAATAAATTACGTATATAAAAAATTTTTCTTTAAAAAAATTTTAAAAACTTTGTAAATTTACAAATTAGCACATATTAAATACTTTTGTCACAGTTTTTATTACCTGTATTTTGTGAAAATATGGGTATTTTATATAATTCATAATACATTTATTCCTAAATTTTTTCTTTTTACTTTCGTCAAACTTTGGAGTGTAATTTTACCATTTAAGCCAAATGAAATTGACTTTCTTTATTAAGAGAAAGTTGTTTAACAATGCCAAAACTACTCGAATCTAAATTTTCATAGCAATTGGAGTAATACTTATGGAGTACACGCATATTTTTATAATTATAGTAATTTTAAATTTGCTTTTTTCGTTTATTAATTTTGGAGCGTAATTACGGCATTTTAGTCAAATGAAATCGACTTCCTTTATTAAGAGAAAATTGGTTACGGATGTCAGAACTACCTACAACTAAATTTTTATAGTAATCGGAGTAATACTTATGGAATACGAGCAATTTTCGCACTTCCAATTTTTTTTTAATCACACAATCAGTAACTTCAGAGTGTAATTTCAGCATCTTTATCAAATGAAATCGACTATCTTTATTAATTGAAAGTTGTTCAGCAGGTTCGAAACTACCTAGATTTAAATTTTTGTAATCATTAGTATAATACTTGTGGAAACATTTGTATTTTTTACAACAGTACTAATTTTTGAATTATGACAAGTAAGTTTTTTTTAAATTTTTTTTAAATTATGAATTTTTGAATTGATAAATCATTATTGAAATGATTACATAAAATCAATAAATAAAATAAATTTTGTTTTATATAAACTCAGATTTGAAATTATATAATTTGAAGTAAAATTTGAACTTATATGATGATTTTGTATAAAGCTTTTAATAAAATTAAGTGTATAAAGTTATATTAAAATTTTTGACCTTAGATCTGAGTTATATATATAATGTTCAGGGTCCTTTGGAAGGTATTTGTTCGACATTCAGGTAATGAATGTCATTTGTCTGGTATTTTCTGGATGTCCCCTTCCCAACAGGATTTATACCAACAATTTCATGATGTGGTGTTAAATGATAACACATATAAAACAAATAAATACAACATGTATTTAAGTGTTTTCATGATTAAAGACAATTATGAATAAACCTATTAAATACATTGCAAAAATAAAAAAAAAAAGATCCTAAAATTAAATTATTAAAAAAAAATTGCATTTCAAAATGGATAAAGTCAACTATGCTTCTTTGATGTTCAAGGAGCATTGCACTTCATTATTGCCCCTACGATATCTATGACAAAAGAAAATTATGAACAATTAATAAGAAATTTAGATTGGCAGGTATGTAATCTTAAAGTCTCTGCAGAGATGAATAAGCAAAAGTTTTGAAATGTAGCTAATGCTCTTGTTGAGAATGAAATGGTGTCTACATATACGTGGATTTTACAATGTCTTATGAAAGCAACAAACAATACTGTGCTAAAAGCATTTTGGACAGATTCAGAACAGAATTGATTAATGTAGCTGCTCATATGTTTCCAATGATGCCACATTTTTATTGCTTTTTCCATATTTGGCAAAATATTACCAAACACCTTAAAGCAAAATTGGGTACAAAATTTCGTTCATTTAGTAAATCATTTTACTTATATAGAAATACATTAAGTATAAAGTTATTTGAATAACGGTAAAAATCTATGATGAATGAATTTCCAGAAAGTTATCAATATATGACTAAAGTATTATATCCTAATTGAAGTAGCTGAGCCAAAGCCTATACACCATTCCAATAATTTAATGCAGATATTCAATTCATACAAAGTGTAGAGTCATTTAATGCAATTATCAAACACAGGTCGAAAAGTGAAAAATCAGGCATCAATCAGTCACCAATCNCTTTATTAATTGAAAGTTGTTCAGCAGGTTCGAAACTACCTAGATTTAAATTTTTGTAATCATTAGTATAATACTTGTGGAAACATTTGTATTTTTTACAACAGTACTAATTTTTGAATTATGACAAGTAAGTTTTTTTTAAATTTTTTTTAAATTATGAATTTTTGAATTGATAAATCATTATTGAAATGATTACATAAAATCAATAAATAAAATAAATTTTGTTTTATATAAACTCAGATTTGAAATTATATAATTTGAAGTAAAATTTGAACTTATATGATGATTTTGTATAAAGCTTTTAATAAAATTAAGTGTATAAAGTTATATTAAAATTTTTGACCTTAGATCTGAGTTATATATATAATGTTCAGGGTCCTTTGGAAGGTATTTGTTCGACATTCAGGTAATGAATGTCATTTGTCTGGTATTTTCTGGATGTCCCCTTCCCAACAGGATTTATACCAACAATTTCATGATGTGGTGTTAAATGATAACACATATAAAACAAATAAATACAACATGTATTTAAGTGTTTTCATGATTAAAGACAATTATGAATAAACCTATTAAATACATTGCAAAAATAAAAAAAAAAAGATCCTAAAATTAAATTATTAAAAAAAAATTGCATTTCAAAATGGATAAAGTCAACTATGCTTCTTTGATGTTCAAGGAGCATTGCACTTCATTATTGCCCCTACGATATCTATGACAAAAGAAAATTATGAACAATTAATAAGAAATTTAGATTGGCAGGTATGTAATCTTAAAGTCTCTGCAGAGATGAATAAGCAAAAGTTTTGAAATGTAGCTAATGCTCTTGTTGAGAATGAAATGGTGTCTACATATACGTGGATTTTACAATGTCTTATGAAAGCAACAAACAATACTGTGCTAAAAGCATTTTGGACAGATTCAGAACAGAATTGATTAATGTAGCTGCTCATATGTTTCCAATGATGCCACATTTTTATTGCTTTTTCCATATTTGGCAAAATATTACCAAACACCTTAAAGCAAAATTGGGTACAAAATTTCGTTCATTTAGTAAATCATTTTACTTATATAGAAATACATTAAGTATAAAGTTATTTGAATAACGGTAAAAATCTATGATGAATGAATTTCCAGAAAGTTATCAATATATGACTAAAGTATTATATCCTAATTGAAGTAGCTGAGCCAAAGCCTATACACCATTCCAATAATTTAATGCAGATATTCAATTCATACAAAGTGTAGAGTCATTTAATGCAATTATCAAACACAGGTCGAAAAGTGAAAAATCAGGCATCAATCAGTCACCAATCGGTCACCAATCAGGTATCTGATTGGTGACCGATTGGTGCCTGATTGGCATTTTCGCCAAATATTGTCACCAATCAGGAACCAATCAGTCACCAATCAGTCACCAATCAGCTACCTGATTGGTGACTGATTGGTGCCTGATTTTTCACTTTTCGACCTGTGAAAAAGACATTAAATAGTGTAAGCAATCTTTGTGAAATTGGAAATACTATTGATAAAAGACATGAAAACGAACTTCAGTATTGTAAATTAGTCAACCTTAAAGCTTATCAAACAACAGTTGGTCTTCCACATTTATTATCTCAATTTTTTTCCAGTATTGATATTGTTCTTAATTACTTTTTGATGCTTCTTGTATTATCATAGCAGAAATTTCAAATTTCTCAATGAAGGTTGTTTGATATCATCTTTAGATGAGGTAATTATCATTTTATTAAAATTAATAGTAACTTTGTAATGTTTATATACGTTGCGTTACTAATTAATAGATCAATCATATGATTCGTATCTTCATATGATTCTTTTTTATATAAATCTTATAGAATTTAGATATTGAGACTGCCAGTGATAATTTTATTGAAGATATTATTGATAAATCACAAATAATTATAAAGTCTCTTTTAAGTGGTATTGAAATTTCAAATATCATTGAAATATGAAAAATAAGACATATAGGTGGCTTTTCACGTAAATATAATATAGTAATACTTTTGGATGATAAAACCCACCTTTGTATTTGTTTGGAAACAATTACAAAAGGTATAATTTGCCAACATTTCTGGAAAGTAATGTTATATTCAAATTTAGCAAAGTTCTATATTAGCATCATACCTATTAGATGATATAAAGACAGTATTTTAACTAATTTAGATATTAATCTTAAAAACTTTCTGATTCTTACAGCAATAGAAACAACTACTGATACTTCAACATTATCTCAAATTACATTATGTACATTTCAAAGTTTACATTGTATTCAAAGGTCTGATAATAATGAAGTTATTCGTCAAAATACTAATCAACGAAATAGATTTGGGATAGCATTTTTTACAGTAAAAACTGCTGTTAATATTGCATTAGAAACCAATAGTGATCATGAATTAATTCAATTATTAAAAGATTTTATTGAAGCAAAACAAGAAAAAAATGTAGATAATAATGACAATGTTAATCATGATATAATAGAAATTAATGAGTCTAATCAAGAAAATGATAATATAGTTCTATTACAAAAAAATTTAATTGAACAAATTACCAGTCCTTATGTAACTAAAGTTAGAGGGCTCCATCAAAAAAAAAGATTAAGAAGTGCAATGGAAATATCAAAAAGGAGAGTTCTGATGCAAGAAATTATTGATAAAAGTAATGATCAGCCTATAAAACAACAGCGTAAATGCTTATTGTATGGTAAATTTGGTCACTATCAGAAAAAATGCTCAGGGAATAGATAATAGGTATGTTTTTTTTATTAGAGTTTTATGATTTCAATTACTTTAATCGAAAATTGTAATAACAGAATTTTATAATGTTAAATTAAGTTAATTTCGCAATACTATAATAATTGACATGTAATGAAACTTTTATGAGATAAAAAACTATATAAAAGACTTGTATTCGTTAGCTGGTGGATGGGAAATAGGAGTCTTTTTTTTTGTGATTTTTCATGTAATTTGAGTATAAATTTCTTATAATAAAACTTCATTAATTTTAATTATATAATTACAATTAGAAAAGTTATACACATTATTATTAAATTATATTTCATTTATTATTACATAAAATTGCAGAAAAATTATTTATTAAAATTTACATTTTTCGTTTAATGAAAAACTAAAAATTTATCAAATCACGTGATTAGTAATTTTCATCACTGGTGAGCGTTAAAATTACTCTTTTTTTTCTACAAATTTAATATTCCTTAATTATAATATTTTATATAAAAAAAAGTATAGCTCACAAAATGAAATTTGCATACATTATTTATTTTCTAAATTTTAAATTTTAAATCTATTTTCTTACATACATTGTCAAAATCTTTTATATATTCCATATATCTCATATATATATTATTACCATTATCATATAAATCTAGATTATTTCCACTATTGTCAAAATTTGCTGGCAAACTTTTGATATAGTGTTCTATTTTTTTCTCTATGATTTGATTAAGATTTTCTAGTATATATATCAGGGATTTATCCTTGAAGTCGCTATTTTTTACATGCGGAAGTATCCATCTATCATATAATTTCTGGTGTTTCCCAGAAATGACAATGTTATATCCTTGTTTTATTGCAAAATTAATATAAAGTTCACACAAGTAACAGCATTTCTTTGACACTGCTATAAACACCCTACTTTTAATTTTATTGTCGATAATTAAGGAGGCCAAAATGTGCATCTCCGCATGTAAGTATATACATTTTTCAACATTATCATTGTTAAGTTGTAGTTGTTTTGTGGCATTGTCGGTATATACTTTATGGATTCTTTCCATTACTTCAGGCTTTTTCGAACACCTAGTCATGAAATGATTATATTTGTCTTCATCTTCATCAATAAACCTTTTGATAATATTTTCCCATGAATATATAGGTTGTTTATTTATGATAACAGGCCTTCCTCTATTTACTTTAATGTTAGAGAATAGTGGTTTATATTGTATATTCTTTGCACAATTTATGATACCTTTAATAGACCCAAAATAAGATCCCACTTTCTTAATATGGCCTAAAAATTTTGGGGAGATGTTAGAATTAACTTTAGCTTTAATTTGCTTATAATACTCGTAACAAACTAAGGATATGTTGATAGGAGTTGCTGAATCACCAAGCTCTGCTGAAATATAATCTTTTAAAGATTTAACGTATTCATTATTATCACCATTATTAATATCATTCTTAAGTTTATTCCATCTAAACTCAAATTTAGTATAGCAATATGACATCACAGCTAGGTAAAAAGCCTTTTCGGTATCTGTTGATTTGATGGGAGTATTTTTTGATATAACTTTCAGATAATTCGTAATATTATTAATATACTTCACATCTTTGTTGAGCCAATCAAAGTTCTTAGAAAGGTAAATTTCACTGCTATCTTTTAAAATTTTCAACCATACTGCAACTATTTCTTTGTCCCTTGCAAGTATTGTTGCTAAATAACAGGAAAATCTATCATGAATTTTCAAGTCAGCAACTTCATCTTTTGCTTCACCAACAACAAAGTTGATACAATGAGCAACACATTCTTTACTATATAACTCCTTCTCATGATCTTTCTCTTCCTCCCATTTTTTTTTGTGTTCTTTCTTATACTTTTTTAGTTCTTTCAATTTTTCTGAAATCATTTAAGCTACTTGACTTTAAATACAATTATTTATAGAAGTATTTTACAAATCAAACAATTGATAGTTTTAATCAATAATATTTTTATTTTTGACTTTAATAAACTTATAAATACATTGCAGTTATATAAAAAAAAATATATAGATATATAATATCATATAATATATATAGATCTGATTTGAAGTTTGACTCATAGTATTGTTTATTATAAGTTAAACTGAATTAAATTAAACTAAACTAATTAAGGGTTAACTTTATTTAACTTGAAGATTTTTATTAAGTTATAAACTCATGGTTCAGTTTAGTTTAACTTAACTGTTAAATTGATAAAGTTAAACCAATAGGTTGATGAAGCCAATAAGCAAATTAATGGAATTAATGAAAAATTAATGAAGCTAATATTAATAATCTTATCAGTTTAACTTGAAGGTTTAAGTCAATCAGTTTAGTTTGACTTTAGCTTTAAGTTTGATCAAATCAGATTATTAATAATACTACTTTCCATCACTTTTAAATCAGCTGATTTCTGATATATTTTTAAGAAAATACAAGTATTGCAAAATTATTAAATGTATTGAGAAATATACTTTTAAAATATGTGAGCATTGCAGATAAATCAATAGTAAATTGAACGGTTCTAAGACTTTTAGTACAATAGAATATGAATAGAATGAAGAATATTTTACTCAAATTGTTAATGAAGGATCAGATTTTAGCTTGATTTTAAAACTTGAACCAAAATGCCTAAATATGATTATTATACTATTTATTTTATATTACTTTTATTTGGTATTCTGCATGAATTGATTTATCATACAGTATAATCCTAATTAATCCTAAAGGGTAAAAATATATTTTGCAAATAACTTTTGATCTAGCAGTTCAATTTTGATGATCATCTTTTATTTTGATCAGGGTAACAAGACCTATTGATTAAAAAAAGATCATCAAAATTGGATCACTAAATCCTGAGATAATATTTATTGGAAGTCAAATCAAGTCTGAATCAAATTCAAATCAAATCAAATTTCAGAGGAAAAATTTGATTTGTACAGAACACTACCTTCATTTGTACAGATTGAATTTTTAGTACTATTGAATATAAGTGTAAGTGTGTAACCTTATACAAATTCAAGGTTTTTGTACTAATTAACTTAGTAGATATCACATCAATTATCATAATAAACCTTCTTCATAGTGTATTTAGAGGGCCTCCTCCCTTGAACCTGTAGGAGATATATGACTAACTGTTTATTCATGTTGTCAAGGATCCAATAGACTATATTTAATGAAAACACATCCATTTTTTTTTTTTGATCAATAATAAAAATAAAATAAAATCAAAATAAAAAAAAAAAGATAACCCAATATTCATTAAAAAAAAAATTTAACAAATATTGGTGAAAAAAAAAAATATTATTACATCATATATCTTTTACCTATGTAAGCTTTTACAAGCTAAGTCAAATTATATATTCTTGATACTTCATGCATAACTAAAATAATTATCGCAAGCTTGAACCTCTAATTTCGGTCCCCTTATTGTAAATTTAATATGCGGGTCAAATCAGATCTATCGCACAGGTCAAGAACGACTTATATGTTCGGTTGTGGAAGGCTTTCCTAAGTTGAATAAGATCTTCATTTCTTACAACATCCAAATTATTTGACCGATAAAACATTGTGCTAAAGTAGGTAACAAAAAACGGATTAAGCACATCTTTATTTAATGGATAGATCTATTCGAAATTTGTTAATTGCTTTCTGTAGCCATTTCAGAGTACATAATTTATTAAATACTAGATCATGAAATTTAAGATTTTTCCAAGTGAATGACTAAATCGGTGAGCTGAGAGAAATTCGCAAGGGATGTAGATTGTTGAATTTCTTGTACTAAAAAAAGTTTTTTGACTTTTGAGAATTTTATTAAATTGGTTGTAAAATAATAAATTCCTAATCTTACCAGTTTTCTTTGGTTGTAACGTATTTGAAGATAGATCAATTTCCCATCCTCGTTCTTCCAAAACTAAAAGAAATGATAATTTGAATATAAATAATATCGAATTAGCTCAAGCAAATCTTATTTTCCAAAATTCTTACTCGTTAATACTTTTTCACGTGGCAAACCAAGATATTTGACTACGTCATCAATCACAATAGAAGAATACGCCTCTGATAAGAGATTAAGCATACGTTCTCGTAAATTATCTATAAGAGAAGCGATATAGATTATTAGGTAAACTTTATAACTTCAAACAGTAAATATAACTAACACAAATACCAGCCAATTGCTCCATCAAGGGCGCGATAATAGGGCTCCATGTTTTTGAACCTATAAGCTCGTACACATTTTCATATTCTCTTTGCCATAGCGCCGCACCGACATCCCAAATAGCACGTAATTCTTTGGAAGAACTTTTGATGGAGTCAGGCAATCGCTTCCAAAGAAAACGGGCGGAAGGACTATAATTAAATTTGATTAATATATTCTAAAAATACCATTAGATAAAGTTTACTTACAGATCTTGTTCTAACAAATAACCAAGTAAAAAGGGACCGTAAAAATCTTCTGGAGTTATGTTTGTGTTTGGTGTTAGAGCAAGCTAATATACAAATACGTTTAAAAATAAAGTACTTTACGAAATAAATTTAACGCGGACTAAAAAAGAATCAAAATACTTGTAATTCTAAATCCTCGCAGAAATTAACAAGCGCTGCATATTCATGACTTTCTATATGTGCTTTGATAGTATCCATAGCTAATTCAGTGCTAATTCTATTTGAAGACTACGTTTCTGAGACGTGACAGTAATAGACTAATAGTCAAATAGTCAAATGTCACTGAAGCTTATGCAAGATCACGCAATACTGCAATACTGCAATACTGATGTTTCACAGGACGAAAAATTTAAAAATACAAACTACATGGTTATAATTCGTAAAGACAAATATGGACAAAGGTACGTTATAAATAAAAAATTTGCATATTGATGGATATTAGATCTTATAGTTCTAGAATAAACTTTTTATATAGATCCCAGTTTATTGGCAGTCAAGACAAGTAGGAAAGGCATTTGACGAGTTCCATTCAGAGCTTTAAAGCTTAAAAGACAATACGCATGATCAAATTATCTTGATTATAGCTGTTCTTTTTATTTTAGCAACTCAAGGTGAAGGACAATAGAAAGTTGCATCCTACCAAAATTAGCAAATAACGAACAAATGCTAATTCTTTTATATAATTTTAATTGAAATGTTTCTCATTTCATATTTTTTCTTTGATATTTTAACACCCTTTTACACACTTCAGATTTAATTCAAAACTCGGGAACTCCACAATCACCCTCGTTAAACATAAATTTTGAAAAACATAACTTTCCTGGAAATAATGATATAATTACCAAAGTTGAATCATTAACTAATTCGGTTCCGATGGGCAATGTATCGGATCATGATGTTAGTCTATTATCTTTACTTAATTCTCCTATTAATGAGACTTCAACAATTCCGGTTATTCCTTTTGAGGAATCCGCCTCTTCATCTAAAATTTCGTCATCATTAAAACTCAGCTATATTCCTGAGTCAATTTCTGAATCAGAGGAGGAAAATCAGACTAATAGTGATTCCGAAAATATGACATCGGTTCATGAATTCATAAATAAAACAACTATTGAAGGAATTAGTGGATTAAAAATTTCAGAAAACCCGGAAAGTATTATACACGAAGAAGATACATTCGAACAAAGTAAAGGTCGAAAAGAGAGCTTACTTGATCCGATAAACCGGCTTAAAGAATTAATGAATTCCCAGCAGCCTCTTCCAGAAAGCTCTTATCATTTAGAGGAACTTCTTGAATCAAATACAGAAAACCACTCTTCCCAAGAAAGTTTGCCTGTTGAAAATTACCCGGCTAAAAATTTCGTTGATATTTCCGACTCTCCTCCTGTTTCAGAAGAACTTAGCGTAAAATTTAGAAAGAAACGCGTTGCGCCTGAAGCATTGATTTCAGATGATATCAAACAAATAATGAATCGGGCGCAAAGAACTAATATATATGGTAATAACAAAAATATTTTTTTTTTTAATATTGACAGTTGAACATGAGTTATACTTTTATAATAAAATATTTTCTGAATAGCTGTGAAATTAGACTCATTAAAACAAGAAACTACTGGCTTACAAAAATGGATCCTTATAAACATCGGAAGAGAACCACCAATAATTGTCAAAAGTATGAATACATTTTTTAAAGTTTAATTAATTTTGTGATATCTAACTTTATTTACTTTATTTCAAATTTTGACAGATTACCAAATAGGATTCCGCAAGACCTCTTCTACTTTGACAAGTTCTGCCATTAATAAAATATATTCTAATCCTGCTTTAGCCAAAAGTACTAGTAGTCAACCATCTTTGTCCACTATTTCGCGTATAGTTACAGAAAGTTCTGTAGATACTTCATTCACAAATTTGGGTTCTATAAATTCTAGTAAATCTGGTACTTCTCGAAATTCTTTAGATTTGGCAATTCAAGCTAGTTCACTAAGAGGCCGTCCAATGTCGCCTCCTTTATCACCTAGAACAAAAACATCAAACTTTCTTAACATATCTAATTTAAGTCGACATAATAGCTTTAGCAAATCTAGTAGACCATCATTATTTATGCCTCCAGCTGTAATGAATGATCCTTCTATTAATTCACCAACTTCACCTACTTCATCTAATAAAATTTCAAAAACTGCAACACCAATTAAACCACGTCAACGTAGGTTAAGTTTTCAAGCTGTCACCTCTCGTTTTAGTTTGGGATCATCTACTTCAACATCCACATCATTTATTACAACTATTGAAGAAAAGAATATACCTTCTTTGTCCTATTCCAACTCTGTTGTTGCAGATGAAACTGCATTGAATAAATTATGTGATGTTCTCCCCCTTGTAGATAGGGAAATATTATCCAAGTATTTGTGCGCAGCAGGGGGGAAGGATGACTTGATGGCCGTTGATCTCTACATGAGAGATCTTAAGAATGGAGAAGTGTAATTGAGAAGGTAGTGATTATTAATTTGAGATATCTTGGCAGACTTCTACAGTGAATATTATTGCTTTACATTTATTTTAGTAGTTAATCTTAATTATTATATGAAGAAAAAGAAATATAAATATATTTCAAAAAAAAAAAATTTTTTTAAATAAAGGTTTGAAAAATTTATTAATATTAAATTACAGTTCATTAATAACTTTTTCTTTTATTATTACTAATAACAATTGAATCATTAATATTGTTATTTTTAAGATTACATAAACATCTATTAAACCCTCGCTTTTTTTCTACTTGTATTGTTAATTCTTCTAATCCCGTTATATGAGATTTTAAAATTCGCGTAACTTCACTAATAATAAATTGTTCCTTAACCTGATCGTTAATTTGAATATGTATACTCCCTATTAAACGTTCACCATCGTTAGGCCAAAATCGTGGCATCGTATAAGATGCGATTCCATCGACATGTAATACCTAAATTCGTTTTTACATAGCAATTAAATAATTTTAATTTTTTCCTTATATATAAATATTAATAATATTACCTCATGTAAACCTTCAGTTATGTGATACTCAAGATTATCATTTATTGAAAGCATTAACACTGCAGCCGAATGTTTAATCAATGGCACAACACTCATAAAAATTAATACAGCAATAAATATCGAAGCCAAGGGATCAAATCCGGTCCAACCAAATTGATTAATAAGCAAAGTTGAAATTATCACTCCAATTGAACCAAGCGTATCAGCCAATACATGTAAGTAAATACCTAAACAAAGAAACAAAAGTTACGTAATTCATAAATAAATAAATCGTATAAATAAAATAATAATAAATTATAACAAACCTTCCATATTCGCATTATCAACATCATGATGATGATGATGATGATGATGATGATGATGATGTTGTTGTTGTTGTTGTTGTTGTCCATGGAGTTTACTGTCATCCTTATGATGAGAATGTCCATGAGAATGTCCATGATGATGATGACCATGATTAAACACTAAAATTCCCACCAAGTTAACAACAAGCCCTAAAAAGCTTACTAATAATAACCTATCAGTATTCATTTCGGGAGGATCAATCAAACGACCGATAGCCTCGAACATAATGAATATAGAAATCAAAACAAGGAATATTCCATTTGCAAACCCCGAAAGAGTCTCAATTCTTCCATATCTAAATAAAAAATAAAAATAAATCTTCCGGTATAATCAAGTGAAATAAATTTGTATATTTACCCATATGTAAACTTGTTATTCTCTGGCCATTTGCTCATAATGGCGGCAAAAAGTCCAACTGCTAGTGCCAAACAGTCGAAAAACATATGAATAGCTAAAAAATAATGGAGCAATTTTTTAAAGAGGAAGAAAAGAAGCGTTAAGAAATTTGTTAAATTATTTTCAATGAGAACTATTGAACAAGATCTACTTTCTTTAACGTACCACCGCCTTACCATCCGAAATCAAACCCAAACTATTAGTCCAAATTCCATAAATCATTTGTACAAACATATAACTTAAATTTAATAATAAAAAATAAAAAATTTGTCGCGAATCATGATTGCCCAAAATAATTCTCATGTATAAACTAATATTTTTCAAGATTCCGAGTCCTTTTATTGTATTAATTGCAGGATTTACACTGCAGTGAAGCGGGAGCTCGAAAGCTCTACTACCAATCCCGGGTGATGGAAAATGTATCTCATTTGCGAATTGTGAATCAGAACTTATCAAATAGTAAATTCCTGAAAACATAATACCGGCTAATACAAGGTCCAGCATCGAAAATTCTCCATAAAATAAAAATATGCTCAATAAAATAGCGCTTCCAATTGAAATTGGCCAACCTGTTGTAGTATGAGAAAGAGTAGAAGCTTGTATACTTATAAAGTGACCAACAAAATAGTCAAATATGATTAGACCAATCCCCAACCCTCCATACATTACAATCGTATTTTTAATATTCCCTATGTAACTCGTAGAATACTATAATTAAAATTAATTAGAAATATTTGCATAAAATTTCAAACAGAATTATGATATTCATACCATAATATATTGAACAAAAGCCAAAGGCGAAATCATTAACGCTCCAAGAGGAACAGAAATAGCAAGCAATCGTCGATTTCCACCCACATCAATTGCTAATTTTTTTCCTAATGTTCGCTTATAACCTGATAAACCGATTGAACATTGTATAAAAATATACCCAATAATCAAATTACTAAGTGTATGATTATCAAAAGAACTGACGTCATTAATTGTTTCCATGTATTGTGGTAAAGATATCGGAGGTTTTGAACGTGGACCTAATGAAATGAAAATCAACTGCTTAAAAATTGCGAATATCACAGAAGTAATTTTTTGAAATTATATACTTAAGACATATATCAAATCTACAAAAAACGATAAGACCAAAGTCAAAATCGCATAATATGCTCCCCTGGTCTGAATAATCAATATAAACGTTAATTTAACTTCTCAATTATACTAAATCAAAAACAAATAACCAAATGATATTACTATAAATGTAGTATCTGATGATGAATAGTTTCCTAAAAGATATCTTATTAATGACATGCTCCATATATCTGAAAATTGGGTTAATATTAAAGTTCTATCAAAATTTTTTGTCAGTTAATCAATTCACATTATTGGTCAATATAAAACATAAAACATAAAAATAAAGAATATCTTACCTTGTTGATCTTATACGTGATAATCCTGCGAACCAGAAATAAATCTGTGCCGTATATATTAAAGCATATAACGCAACTTTTAGCCACTGAAATAATAAAATTATATTTTAATAAATATCAAAAACTAATTAAATAAAATTTTTCTAATAAATCAACCGCACTTTCTTTCCCATTAATGCTCTATGGCTACTTAGAGTTTTTTGCCAAACCAACAAAAAAAGACCAGCTCCTCCTAAAACTCCAAACGTTACAATCGAAGCAGGGGCACCGTGTAGTAGAACCCATTCACGAGCTATGAATGTCGATAAAGCATGTATAAACTTGGAAATAATGAGGAAAGTAAGTAGGTGTATGGGTATACTTTAGATTTGAGGAATTAAAATTATTAAAAGGAAAAAATAAAGTTAGACCCTTGACTTACGAAAGGACATACGGTAATTCATATTGAAAATTACCGAAGTGGATCGTATAAAATGAAACAACGATCAATACAATGTCTTCATAGCCAGATTAAAGCTAGTTGAAATGACTTACTTAGACGACGTTCTAACGTTTATTTTACCTATATTTATTATACCTTTACGTTTTACAGCTTTTGGATCTGGTATATTATTTAATTGCATATTATTTAACTAAAGAAGAAAAATTGGAAAGGGTTAATCAAAAGAAAGTGTAAAAGTATAATTCATTTTTTTAAAAAATTTTACTATCATGTGATCATATTTAGTGTACGGGGCTGTAAAAATTTGCCGGGTTTATCATTTTCCGGGTTTATAGATATCTAGATCGGAAATATTATATCAAAAAAAAAATTTTCTCGAATATGGTTAAAAACGATCCTCAAAATAATGACGAAACAAATAATGTTTCTTATCCACTCCCAAGTGGAAAAGCGCTTATAGAAACTGATACAGAATCGCCTTCTCCTCACTTATCAAATCAAGTTCCTAATTTACCGAATCCTGATTATCTTCGATTGATTCTTACCTCAAGAGTTTATGAAATAGTTAAAGAAACCCCTTTGCAACATGCTGTAAATCTTTCTTTGAAAACACAAAATAATGTGTACTTAAAAAGGGAAGACTTACAAGAGGTGTTTTCCTTCAAAATTAGAGGCGCTTATAACAAGATAGCTCATTTGAGTGAAGAGGAAAGGAAGAGAGGTGTAATAGCATGTTCTGCTGGTTAGTTTTTGATGCTGGAGTTAATAATCATATATAATATAATAATATATTTATTGATTTAAAGTTTAAAACTTTAGTACAAGTTGTTGTGTAAATTGAGAGCACTAAATTGACATTTGGTATTTCTTTTAAGGAAATCATGCGCAAGGTGTTGCAATGTCCGCAAAACATCTTGGACTTCCATCCACTATTGTAATGCCACTGTATGCAATTTTTCAATCATCATTTCATATCATTTTATTTGCATTTATAGATATGATCTAACGTAACTATTTTTCGACTATGCGTAATCACAACTATTTTTGATCGGAGATGCCAGCGCAACTCCAGCTATTAAATGGCGTAATGTTAAAAGACTTGGATCTAAAGTCGTTTTATACGGAAATGACTTTGATGAAGCTAAGCAAGAATGTGCTCGACTCGCCGAAATAGAGCAACTTACTAATATCCCTCCATACGATGATCCATATGTTATAGCTGGCCAAGGAACAGTTGCGATGGAGATCATCCGCCAACATAATGTGCATGATATTGATGCGATTTTCGCATGCGTTGGTGGTGGCGGTCTCATAGCTGGTATTGGCAGTTATATTAAAAGACTATGCCCCAAGATCAAAATTATTGGAGTTGAAACTTATGACGCTAATGCAATGACTTTGTCATTAAAAGAAAAAAAACGCGTCACTCTTGAAGAAGTAGGTTTATTTGCCGACGGAGCTGCTGTTAAAATAGTGGGAGAAGAAACTTTTAGAGTGTGTAGCGAGGTGGTGGATGAAATGATTATGGTATCTACCGATGAAATCTGTGCTGCCATCAAGGACATTTTTGAAGGCATGAAAAATAGAAAATTTGTTTTCATATTTTCGATCAAAAATTACAAAATTGAATCTAATAATGAAATCTTTTACGGCTCGATTTAGATACTCGATCTATTGTGGAACCTGCTGGTGCACTTGGAGCAGCGGGCATTAAAAAATATGTCGCTGAAAATAATATTAAAGGTCATACCTTTATAGCCATCACATCAGGAGCAAATATGAACTTTGATCGTTTGAGATTTGTAGCTGAGCGAGCTGATCTTGGAGAGCAGCGTGAAGTTTTAGTATCTGTTATTATACCGGAACGTCCTGGAAGGTGTGAATTACTTTAAATACTTGACTTTATTTAATCGATTAGCAAAATTTCACCAACATATTTTATATTAAAATAGTTTCGTTAAACTATATAATCAAATTCATCCACGTCAAATAACAGAATTTTCCTATAGGTAAAATAACATGGGTATTTGTGATGTTTTTGACATGGTTGATAACTTTTATTAACAAATATGTGTTATCTAAAGATACTCTGATTCAGAAAAAGCGTGGATTTATACGTCATTCATGGTTGATAATCGTGAACAAGAGCTTCCCGAAATTTTACAGAATCTGAAAGATAATGGAATGTATGGGCAAGATATTAGTGATAACGAAATGGCTAAATGTCATGCTAGATACTTAGTTGGGGGAAGGAGTAAAGTGGAAAACGAACAATTATATAGATTTGGTATGTCATTTGAGCATTCACGTGATTCCATAAATACCAATTAAAATAATGTAACCGTTTTATAGAATTCCCCGAAAGACCTGGAGCACTTCAAAAATTCTTACTTGGACTTAGAATAGATTGGAATATTTCACTGTTTCATTATCGTAATCATGGATCGGGTACGAATTATTTCCAACCTTTCCACATTACTTGGAAATTAATTATTTACATAAATCTGTACTATTTTGTAGATATAGGCAAGGTGTTGGTCGGGATTCAAGTTCCTCCTCAGGATTTTGAGGCTTTTGAAAAATTTAAGAATAGTTTAGGATACCATGCTGTTGAGGAAACTGATAATCCTGTTTATAAACAATTTTTGATATAAATTTTGGAATATAATTTATTACGCATAAGAAATATAAAAAATTCAAATTATTATTATTATTGACAAATATACCATTGTAAACCACATTATTAAAGTTGCTTATTAGCCAATGGGATCATCAAGATAAAAAAATGATTTTTGATTATGTAAATCGAGATCAAAATTTAGCGGATAAATTTTCGAACATCAAACTACCAATCAAAATAATGCATTGCCATTGTACTTATGGTTTACCATTATTTGCTTAGTTGTTTGCAAGTTGTTTCGCTTCTCACACAATAAAGTATCATAATGAGCGTATACTCGAAGTCGGATCTTTCAGATAAAGGTGTTACTGTGGTATTAGGTTCTCAATGGGGTGACGAAGGGAAAGGTAAATTGGTAGACATACTAGCACAAGAGGCCGATGTATGCGCTCGTTTCGCAGTAAGTATTCCCCTAGATGAGTTGATTTACTTCTTTATTTCACCACATACGTTATGACTGAATTTTAGGGTGGAAATAACGCTGGACATACTATTGTTGTTAATGGTACCAAATTTGCTTTCCATTTGCTTCCTTCTGGTAAATTTTTTACAAGTGATAACATGCTTTCCCGACGTTAATAATATTGCAATAGAATTAATCCTCGTTTTTTTTTTAGGTTTGGTGAATCCTAAATGCATATCGATTATCGGATCGGGAGTAGTTGTCCATCTTCCTTCATTTTTTTCTGAATTGGAACAATTAGAAGCGAAAGGTTTTGAATTTTATGTGTTTAACTGTGTTTAACGTATTTTGATGTAATGTCATATCTAGAACTTTCTAATTTATGAATTGCATAATAACTTTTAGGATTAAATGTTAAAGATCGTGTTTTTATTTCGGATCGCGCACATTTAGTATTTGATTTCCATCAGATTGTTGATGGTTTGAAAGAAAAAGAACTTGGTCGTTCAAGGTGTATTAATCATGATATCTAATAATTATTGTAATTATTTATGTTACAAGATAAATTTTAATTGTGGTTTCTGGATTTGACGAGGTAAATTGTTCTTAAAATCTTTTTTTAGTATCGGCACAACAAAGAAAGGCATTGGTCCAGCGTATTCGTCCAAAGCTTCACGTTCTGGTTTACGAGTTCACCATTTATCGAATCATCAAGCATTTGCTGAAAAATTTCGACAATTGGTTGCGAACCGAATGAAACGATACGGAAATTTCGAATATGATATTGAGGCAGAAATTGAACGGTACAAGGTATATTTTTTAAACGGATTCAATAAGTGGCTTGTATTTATCTATATGCCATTCTTTCATCAAGTATATCAATATCGTTAAATTTATTTCAATAATTAAGGAATTAGCTATTCGTCTTCAACCTTATATCGTTGACGGTGTAGTTTTCATGAACAAATGTATAGCTTCAAATCAGAAAATTCTTGTTGAAGGCGCCAACGCTTTGATGCTTGATCTTGACTTTGGCACTTACCCATTTGTAACTAGTTCTAACACGACTGTTGGTGGCGTTAGCACCGGATTAGGTATTCCACCGTCCAAGGTCGATAAGGTTATTGGTGTGGTAAAAGCTTATACGACAAGAGTAGGAGGCGGTCCTTTTCCCACCGAATTACTTGATGTACGTTACATTAGTAAGTTTTATTTATTGAAGATGGTTAATTTATTACTTCTTTTATGACTGTAGGAAGCTGGAAAATATCTACAACATACTGGCGCAGAGATTGGTTCCACTACTGGAAGAGTGCGACGTTGTGGATGGCTTGATCTAGTGGTTTTGAAGTATTCAACTCTAATTAACGGTTATACTAGGTAAATAACAATTCAAAGATATTCTTTTAGCAAATAACATCTAGTATTTTTGGTATTAAATCTACTCTTTTAGTCTCAACTTAACGAAACTTGACGTCCTGGATAATCTTCCGGAAATCAAAATTGCGACTGCATATTTATTAGATGGGAAGCCTTTGGAAAGTTTTCCGGGTATGATTTTTTAAAACTTCTGACGTAAATGTATTAGAAGCAAATATTATGATTAAATAGTTTTATTGCTACTTTTTAGCTGATTTAGAGACCCTTGAAAGAGCCACCATTCAGTATGAGACATTACCGGGTTGGCAAACTGATATTTCTAAATGTCGTCAATTTTCTGATTTGCCAATAAATGCACAAAATTATATAAAAATAATTGAAAAATATTTGGAAGTTCCAAGTAAGTCTGGTAATTTTGTTCTGAACATGTCATAATTTTTTATCTGATTGTTTTTTTCTATTTTAATATTAGTTGAATGGATTGGAGTTGGTGTTTGTCGTGAGGATATGATTGATTTAAAAAAAGAATTTAAAGCATGATGGTGTCATGTACAAATAAATAAATTATTATATAGAGAAAGATTGTATAATAGTTATTGTAATAATGGATCAGTACCGTAATATCAGTTTAATTTAATGGAAAATAACTCTTTTTTATTAAAGTAAAAATTTTCCAATAAAATTAATTTATTTGTCAGTTTAACGATATATAACTAATGTTTTTTAGCATATTGAATCTAAATAATTTATATAAATCTAAATGAACTTAATAATAAAATAAAGGATGCTAAAATAAACAATAAATATTCAAGCTTTTAAGTTCATTACATAATGCGTTAAAAAAAAAAAGTTATATTCTTTAAAATAAATTGATCTATTGATCTTTTCGCTTTTCACCAACAATTTTCATATTCAATTTTCTTTTTGTTGCTTGTCTCTTCTTTTTATTTGCTTCTCTGGTTTCATTCAAATATTCCTTAATTACAGTATCATACCAACTAGCATAAACTTCACGATTATATCTACCTAGAACACAAATCTTTTTGCTAAGCTGTTCCAATTCCCTAGCAACAGTGAGTACGCCATACTGAGCCAAAGTTTCCTTTTTAGGGAATTGACCTGTCTGAAGATGTTGCTTGACAACGCTTTGAATTCGACGTGATAAGAGTGAAAAAACTTTATCCGATTGGGAAAGTGTTTTAGAAACCATTGATTTTACAAGAGATTGAGTTTCAGGAGAAAGAGATGATGGAAGATAATTTAAAATCTCGGCAGTTAAATTATCAATAGTAGTGTCGCCATCCAACAATAAAACGAAAAGAGTATCTTTTAATTTAGGAAGATTATCATCATCGAATGAAAAATTAGCCTGACTGCTAGCTACGTTTTTGGTAAGCATTAATAAGGCAGCCACGATAGTAATAGCTTGTCCTTCATTTTGGAAATTCCAAAGTCTTTCAACATCAAGCAAAAAGGTTTCAGGACAACTATTTTTATCGATAATTGATTGTTGAAAAATAAAGGAGACAAGTGCTTCGTTATATACTTGATCAAATTTAATACCATGATTATGTTTATGTTGTGGGAGATAAACGTTCTCAGGATTTCGTTCTGCGACTGTACGTAATAATGAATCAATGGTTGGAGTCAACCAAGCTTTAGCTCGATCAAGGCTCAAACGATTAGATTTTAACGCCTGATCAAATTTACGTCTTTCATAATCAACTGCATGCTCTTTTAAATAAGATCTAAATGCCTTAACGCGATAATTAGCAAGGTCAAGCCTCATTTGATCCAAGATTTCCAATAATCGTTTAAAAATCTCTGCAAGATCCTTCAAACCTTTAAGCTCCTGAATTTGTTCATCCCGAACAGGCGCGCAAATTTGTAACATAGTATTAGTAATATATACAATACAATTACGTATATTATATACACCAACTTTGGTTTGTTGTTTGATCAAATCAATGTCAAGAATTTCATTAATGGACGATTGTAATGGAGAAGTTGGAGGAACCAAATCAACAAGTCGCTATTTTTTTTTTTAAAAAAAAAATAATAATAAAACTACTAGATAAAAATAAAAGTTAATAAACATCATAAAACATACCTGTTTAATATCGCTGAGAAGATTAGGAATCCAAACATCATATTTTCCTTTTTCAAAATCTGCTCTAGCTGAATCGAAGAACGCTTTAGTAGCCATAGATCTAACCCGTTCTTCTAATTCAGTCCTCTTAGGGGGTTGCAACTCAAATTCTGGGTCAATAATAATTTCATGCGCAAGTTGCTCATTAGTTAATCCAACACCGTCATGTCCCAAACTTTGCATAATGCGATGGAGATCTGAATTTGTTGAAGGTTCTGACGGTGAACCTAGAGGACTAGTACTAGGAGAAAACGCAAAATAAGATGAAGATTTGGGCATTGATTGAGATGAATTCTGTGTTAAATTAGAAACTTTAGTGACCAAAGGTGAAGGAACAAATTTCTGTCGTGGAGGAGTACTTGATTCTTGTTCCTTGATTTCTTCAGCTTCTCGTTCATTATTAACACCAGCGACCGAATCTGACGTATCAGTTTCATCGCCACTTTCATTTGGAAGTTTTTCTTTTAATCTTCTCAAACTTCTTTCCAACTTGGAAATTGCTTCATCACCGCCCAAGTTTCTAATTTTGCTTCTAATCACTTCTTGTTGTTGCACAATATTCATTCTCCACTCAGTCTCTGCGTTAGCCTGTGTTTTAACTGTATTCCACAATTTCTCAAGCTCTGCGTAATGCGCAATGAGGTTACTAGCGAGTTCTTCGCTATCTTTAGATTTCCAATTATCAAAATCTTTATAATAAGTGTCCCATGCAGAAAGAAAGCTGAGGAGGTGGTTAATATGAATTTTATTTGGTTCATCGTTGCTAAACTCATTGAACCATTGTTCAAGTTCTCTCAGCATGACCTTCGCGGAAGTAAAAAGCTTCTACGAAATGAAACCAAAATCCATGAATTGTGAATGATAATAGGAAAGAAAAAAGAAATAGAAAATTGATAAGTATATTAATAAAAAAGAATTCAAATAAGTTATAAGCGATTGTCTAAAATTCTACCTATTTTATCCATTATCTCAAGATGTAATTAACTATCCATTTAATTTTACCTTCACACTCTCACTTATACCATAATAATAATAAACATAAATCGAGAAATCACGAATTTGCTTACCCTTTCATAATGACCGATATCAGCAAGAATTTCGTTGGTATGTGACACGATCATATAAGCACTTAAAAACACCCTAGAAAGATTCTTATACTTGTTTGCACCACATGTCAGAGGGGAGACTTTTCGTGCTTTTTGTAACAATTTACCAGTTGCTTGAATAACTGCTGGTTTTTGTAACAATCTTACAGTATCTTGAAAAGACAAGTTTTCAGTAACATGAACTGAAATTCCAAAACTACGGTAAGTTTTAATAGCTTTGGAAAGTTGTCTATAACGCCAATGGTTTTGAATAATAACAGCAGCTTCCTCACGAGTGGGCGGAATAGCCATCTCGTTAGAAAAAATGCGAGATTTTGGTACAGTGAGGAGTTTAGCACGACGAGCAGCAGTAGCTTTTTGTCGACGTTCCAAATTAGCACGACGTCTATCAATTTCTTCTTGATTCTTAAGTTGTTGTTGACGCGCAACTTCTTTGCATCTAGCAACTTCCTGAGCACATTGTTCTACCAATCGTTGCAAAATAGTATTTCTATTCTTCTCGGCGAGTCGTAAAGTTTGCTGAATATGAGATCGCTTGGCGGAAGAATCACGAAGAGCACGTTGATGCTGTTTAATAAGGACATCCTTTACATGCAAGTACTGACGAGCCAACTTAAGACGCCTTTGTTCAAGGATAGCCTCCCTTTTAATTTGAGCATCATACGGACCATATTGAAGCAGCTTTTCATGTCCGTATGAGGAAAAGGATTTCTTGGATTTCATTCTTTTCTCAAGATGAAACGGACGTTTGCTGCTATTATGTAACGGTAGGACATCGATAACATAAAAACCTGAATCCGTTTTGTGCATATTTGCAAGATATTAAATACGTCTACATGATTTAAATAAAATTTATTATTAGATACAACTATTGAAACTATGAATTCTAACTAATTTCTTGAAGAAGTCAATACAAAACTTGCTTTTACGCACGCTGCAATAGCTAACCTGTAACGTTAAATAAAATTTCACTTTATCAAAAAAAAAAAAGAAAAAATAAGAACGAGATTCCGAAATTAGAACTAAAGTAATGCGCAAATTTGTTTTTGAAATAAATTAAATAAACGAATAGTATACAAAATGAAGAAAGGAAATATATAAGTAAATTTGAAAGAAGATAAATTACACGGGTAATATTAAAAAAAAAAAAAGAATTCCTGACTAAGGAAAGTCAGAATTACTGAAACAAAAAACTTCTCGGTTTCGGTAGAATCTAAAGAAATTTTGTTACCATTTATAGTCGTTATAGTCGGCAATATGCAGAGGTATGACAAATGGATCTTCATTATTACGTCAAAATTTTAGAAAATGATCCGTTAGTAACACTAAAAATAAAATGCTATATTTAAAACTTCGATTACGTTCCATGTGTTAAATTACATATTCACTTTCGAGTGCATTGTCTACACGATTTGAATAGTTTCATTAGTATTAAATAATTTAAATTGCAGAAAATAAATAGACAGAAAAAAAAGATAGAACTAAAATAGCCGATCAATGGTTTGTTTACCGGTCAAAAATAATTGTAAATTTCCGTGCGAAATTTCGTTATCATGAAACTGCGGATCATCACTTTAAAAAAGAGAAATTCCGAGATTCCGATTTATTATTTGTTTTTGTCTATTTGAAACTTTTTTTTCTCCTTAGATAATTAATAATTACTTTTTATAATCATTATGACTATGATAGTAAAAGTATCATAACCTTTATATATACTAGGTATGTATTTAAAAGCTATGATTTTATGTAAATATATGCGATTAGTTGCACCGTTTATTTATTTATTGCATGTGACCGCATATACAGTAAACTAGAATATTTACTAGAGCTAGAATATTTACTAGCAGATTATCAGTGATGGATAAGAGCTTCAAAATATTAGAAATTTCCTGACCCAGCCGGTTTTAATTTATTAAGCCTTACATCGTACCATAAATATCTAGTTTTACTTACTATAAAGTGTAATTTATCAAACAAAAATGAAAAAATTTACTAAATTTCTTCACAAAGAAAATAAAGTATCATTAAATATGACAAACAAGCTAGTCTTACTTTAAATATTTAAATATTTTAAAGTCCGTAAGATAATTACATAAAGTACATAACTTTTAATAATTCGGGTTTCACTGCACCAAAAGCAACTTCGTCTCCTTCTGTAGATGATTCTTCGCTGAAATTATCACCACGAATATGGAAACGAGCTCGACTACAAACAAGATGTGCATAATAAACAGGAGGGACTAAAGAAACTACTCGAGTACATCGCGCGTATATATAACACAAGTTGTATGACAAAGTTTGAAGTGAGTCGGGCGTGAACTCATTTTCGTCGTATAAAACGTGATAATGAGTAGGTCGACACGTTCCTTGCAATCCAGCTTGGCTTTGTAAGTAAAAATCAAATTCCACGGGATGAACAATGTCAGTTTCTACAAGGGTACCAGGATAACAGTTTCCAGTTCGATCTGAGTCTTTCTTGTCAATTGGAAAGAAACGTGCATGATGACGTTTTTGAACAATGATGAATGTAATTGTAGGTGAATATTTTGGATCAAGAGAGTGACACGCGGCTAATTATCAAGTTAAATAAATAAAATCAGTCAAAAAAAGTAAAAATAGTAATATATAAACTATAATAGTCTCACATTTTACTGCTTTAATTTCTTCATTGAGTACTTGCTCAAATTGACCTTCCGAAACGCCATCTCTGTAAAAAAGAATTCTTTCAGGTTTCTTCCCACTAGTCTGATAAAAGGTTTTTAACATATCTTTAACCATATCAGCCAAATCAGAAATAATTTCTGTACGAGAAGCTTGCTGCCTTATTGAAGCCGCGTAACGAGAAGCTCTAGAATCCATAGAAGCACATAAGGCCGCAATTGATGGTCGATTTGAACCATGTGGAGGATGTGTCACGTCAGCACCCATCAAAATCGAAGGCTTTTCGTGAAGAAATGGATTTTGATTTGGTGCAAGGAAAGAATTCGTTCCACCAAGTTTCACATTAATTTTAAGACAAACATTAGCGCAATATTGTTTCCCAGCTTTTAACATATGTCTACCTTGAATACACTGAGTTACTACACCGATGACTGTATCACCCGCGCATTTGATAGAGCCATAAAGTTGAATACCAGTATTGGGTAAGATACATAAAATTAGTTGTGGTTTTGATTTTGCAGCATTTCCAGCACGTATCCATGCTTGTTTTAAACTCTCTTCAACATTGCCTTGAGGATTTGCATGTAAAATTGGTGGGTTCTTATTAGAAATATTCATTCCAGTATCAGAGCAAGTAGTAACTAGTTCTCGAACAAAATTTTGAACCGAATGCGCTGAGTATTCGCGTTCTGATCCGAAGACTAGAACCGACCATGACCCAAGTGTAGCACCAGTAACAACTTTCTTATATCTCAAATTCCAGACTCCATCCCTTGGAATAAAAGTTGCATCTTTAGAACTAGGATGATAGTTAATTGTAGGTGTAGGTAATACTCTAGCTCGTACAGTGGCCATTTCATTTAATACTTCCATATTAAATTTATTCATTTGTTCGTTGTGGCGATAATTAAGAGTATCAAATCCCATCTTGATTTTGTTTGCGCGAATATTTGGCTGTTGGCACGTGAACTTAATCATGTCAGCAGTTTGTTTTTCATTGAGTTTTCGAAAATGACGCTGACCCTATTAAAATATGGGAAAGTTATTATTTTAAAATTTCTTTAAAGGAAAAAATAGTAATTTACGTACTTCAATAACCTCACACACTTCCAATGGAAGAAAATTGTCCGTTTTAACCACAATACAAGGTAAGTGTGGATAAGTAAGTCGTTTGTAGTTTTTTTGAAAATATGAAGCCACATCCATTTTATGACCATCTGCATCATCAAATTTTGTTCGTTGAGCATCCTGAGGGGTGATCTTTGAAATTCTGTAACGTCGTTTGGCATTTTTTTCACCACGATGAGTAACACGAATTTTAAGATTTTTAAGTTCTTTTTCAAGCTTAGCGCGTTCCCTTTCATTAATTCCTCTGCGCAAATCATCGGGATGTTGTTTTCCAAGCATTTTAACAACAACATTGACTAAAGGACCACTTTCATAGAATGCGGTCGCACATAAGTCAATATTGATCATCATTTTACCTAATTAATGAAAATAATAAAGAATTCATCATATACATGTTAAAATATTGAAAGGAGAAACATCAAAGATTTACCTGGTGTAGGACGCGCAGATTGATAATACCCTTGCCAAGCTTCAACGCCACCGGATAAATTTCTAGATCCCTCACGTGTATAGAAAGATCTACTAACAGTTACATATTGCATTGAAGGCTTATGTCTAATTAGCACATCCAAAGCCATAATGGCTGTTAAAACATTCGAACTACATTGAGCTTTGCCATCCAAAAAACGTTGCAATTCTTCCATATTTATTTCATTCACTTTTTTAATTTTGACCTTAAAAACTCTCGGTTGGCGTCTTGTTGAAGTTGAACCGTCATCTTCTGGAAGAGTAATATCAAAAGTGGCAGAATCTTCGAAAGAAAGACGTTCACAAGTGAAAATATTTTTACGCCCATCGAAAACGGCCTTGTTGTTACAGTTCGATTTTTCAAACACTTGATAAACCTTTCTATTCAATAAGGGAGGTACTTGTGGCGTAATGGTAACATCATAATGGTGAATATTAGCTTCAGGGAGTGAGGTAATTTCAAAAAAATTTGCACGGACGCGTATTTCTCGACCTTCGCGACCCAGGGAAGGCCTTTTAACGAAGTCGGTAACATTTAGACCTTCAGGAGGATAGGTCATTTTCCTCGTTGCCATATTTTTACAAAATTTGAAGAAAGGAGAGATATCAAAGAAAGAAAATAGGCTTAAGAGAACTGATCATGCACGCGTTGAACAAATGATTCGGTCGGGGCTTTGATTAGATTGAAAAGATCTTAGCGGATCACATGGAAATCTGTTCTTATCTGATTGGCTGATATAACGTTTCTTATTCTAGTTTTTCTTAGGCTTATAATAATAAACCTGGTTATAACCTGCTTCAAAAAACTTAGACTTTTAAATTGTTAAATAATATAATATCGTATCGTTGTCTTATTGTTAAAACCAGTTGATCGTTCCTAAAACTAAACGAATATTGATTAAATTCAGAATTTTTTCTATATCTTGTGTAATATTGTAAAACAATATAATTAATAATTAAATTAATCATTTAATTTATCATACTAAATACTAAAAAGTAATATAATCATTAATTGAAGTTTGATTAACTTCTTCACTTTTCTAATTAGTTTATTATTCATTAACAGATTTATGAAATTAAGCAAATATTTGGTCACCAAATTTAGAGTGAAAAAAAGGTTTTTCCATCAGATACTCCTTTGAAGTATGCATATTTAAATATTATATTATATTTACATATATATAATTTGTTTTTAACAAATGTATTAAAATTATAAAGTAAAATATTTTTAATTAATGATAAAAAAGTAATCTTAATTATTGTTATTATTTCTAATAATTATAACTATTGAATTATTAATTTTTCTTATAATAAGCAAGATTTCAAAAAAAAAAAAAATAATATAATTATATCTTTATAAGTTTTTTTCTTATTTTACAGTTTAAAATTCAATTATATTAAAGATATTTAAATTAATATATTATATTAATTAAATAATACTATTTACTAATATTCCAGTCATATATTTTAATTGAATAAACTAATTATTATAATATATAGCATAAATTTATTATTATACCTAATGTAGATTCAGTAGCAATCTAGCAAAACAAAATAAAAATATGACAAATATTCATTATAATTTTATTATTTGTATTATATAATATTTATATATAATATTTATATTAAATAAACAATATAATTGCAGATTTTGCAATACAGTCTGATCTTGATATAACGAACCCATGATGTAATAAACTCTTAACTTACTGAACTTTTTTTTTAAAATTGGTTTCATAGTATTTAAAATAGTCTTGATATACTGAATTTCATATAAAACTCAATGTAATGTAAGGTTGCTTGCCGAAACCTAGGGGTTTAGGCAAGATGGCGTTTCGCCAAAAAGCGAAATTCTGCCGAAACTATATTAAAGTTATATTAAAAAACTGGCGAAACTTTGGAGAAAGGTGAAACTGCTGAAACTTATTATAAATGCCGAAACTGCCGAAACTCTGCCGAAACTATAATAAATCTATAGTAAAATTTTGACGAAACTAATCGTAGGATTTTGAGGAGGTTTAGACAAGCAACCTTAATGTAATGTGTACTGAACTTTTATTGATTTACCGTTTATTATAAAATATAATAAAAAAATTTGATATACCAAACTGGTCACATGATTGTCAGAATTGGTTAGATTGATTAAACAATGAAAAAAATTTTCTTTGTCTTCAGACTTTTTAATAACCACGTTATCATGAACCAAAAAAGAAAAAGGTAAATAATGAAACAACATTAAAAAAAAGAAAGGTTCTAACCTTTGGAGAAAAGAAAGAGTTATGTTTGCTTTATAATGAAAATCCATTATTATCACGAGAAGAAATAGGAAAAAAATTTGGTGTAAAAAAAATACCATTTGTGATATTTTGAAAAACAAAGAAAAATGGTTAAATATAGAATTTAATAATTTTAATACAGCTAAACAAAGAGAAAAATCGCCAAAATTATATTTCCTGAATTAGAAAAAGCTTTGGCAATTTGAATTACAAATGCTTTATCTGCTAATAGAATTATAACAAAAGAAATTATCATAGCTAAAGCTTTTGATTTTACAAGATTAATGAATATTGAAAGCTTTACTAAATCAGCTGGATGGTTAAACAATTTTAAAAAAAGACATAATATCAAGCAATATAATAAATATGGGGAAGCACAGAGTGGACCAAGTAAAGAAGAATTAATCAAAAAAAAAGAAAAATTACAGGAATTAATTAGTAATTTTGATCTTGAAGATGTATTTAATTGTGATGAAACAGGTGATTATTGAAAAATCTTGGAATTTTAAATAATTTAGATTATGGTTATTATAGGACCCCAAACAATATATATATAGGTCAGATGAAAAATTCAAAATTTACTAAGGTAATTTCTCTCCTTTTAATTAAGGACTGGTCTATATGGTCTTCCTTTTTTTCTTTCAAAAAAGATTATATCACATGCACTATTGCTCTCTCGAATTCTATTCCCTTTCGCTTGCTTTAAACTCAACTGTTAAAGCTCCCAAATCTATTTTTGCTTGATGGTCACATTCCTTTACTATTTGAATGCATGACGCCCAAAGCTTTCAAAGCTTATTATCCTATCCTACGTAAATGATAGCTGTTTTATTTATCTCAGCTTATAACTCCACAAGGCACCTATTTAATTTCTTGGAAGGCTTATTATAATAATTTGGTTGGACAACGCGGCCCTGGCCACATCCCCTATTAGTATAAATATATTCAAAAATCTACCACCATTCCTGACTCTAATAATCAGTTGCTCGATAAATATATTACTCCTTCGCCTGCGAATGATTTCTCAGTTTGTGAGTTAGAATCTTGCCTTTCTTCTCTCCCTACTACTATGAATTGGATTGTCACGTTAGATGAATTTGATTCTCCCATCTTTGAAAAACAACTTTTGGTCCAGGCAGGTCGTGGTCCTGCTCCATTGTCCATTGGATTTCTTCCAATTGTCAATCTTCGCCTGGTGATATCCTCAAGCTTATTCCTGCCCTGAATGCGCTGCTCATACCCTTTACTTCCTTCTAAAAGACAGAATGCTGATTTAATTCTTTGTATACCAAAGGTTTCCTTACAACATTCGCTCATTTTACCTACCATCAATGAACAGATAAGATGCAATACCTCTGAAGTGACTTCTCTTTTCACTTGGTCTGATATAGAAGATGGTGTTCGTCTCCATTTTAATAGATGGGATATTACTCCTGATTTTTCTCCTGTAGACGCCATTGAGACTCCTATTATTCCTACCACTATTGAATCCTCGGCTACCGCTATTTTTGCTAATTCTCCTTTAATTCCTTTTACGGACTCACATTACATCTTTTTCACTGATGGGTCTCTTATTAACTTAGGAACTTCTGATGTTTCTATGGGCTGGTCTTAGATGCAAATTGTACCAGATGCTGACTTTCCTAACTTCATCGCTACTTATGCACATGGCATTATTCGGGATAATCCCTCTTTTTCTCATGCTGAAGCTGCCACTATTTACGCAGTTTTAACCATCTTCCCTCACGACCCAGAAGTTACTATTTATACTGACTTGCAAACTGCTATTGATGGCCTTCGAAGTTGTTCTTCTTCTACCTATTCTAATAGCTAGTTTTATCATAAAACTACGAACTTTGAACTTTGGGCTATTATTGAATGAACCATCCTCTCTAAGAATTTGATTGTTCTTCCAATTAAAATCAAAGTCCATTTTGGCAACTATTTGAATAATTTTGCTGACTCCTTGGCCAATACTGCTCACACTTCATCGTCCAGTATTTTAATAGGACTCTGGATATCTCCAAAACAGGTCATAAGTCACACTTTCGGCAGATTGGCCCATTTTTCAGGGGCTCAAAAAATCGTTTTTTGTAAATATCTCGGCATCCAGTGGTCCAATTTTGATGAACTTTTTTTTTTAAATTGTAGAGCTAAATGAGGGCTACAAAATAAAAAAAAGTTCATTAAAATTGAATTACTGGATGCTGAGATATTTACAAAAAACGATTTTTTGAGTTTCAGCAAAAAGGGGTGTTTTTGGCCAAAAGTCCATTATGACCTTTATATTAGATATCCGGGGTCCTATTTTAATCTCTGGCTTGGATCTTCCTTTGCCCATGATTTTGTTTTAACCTATGATGATGATGTTATCTATGAGTCCAATTCGAGACGTCTTCTCAAGCAATTTTATCAAACACAGATAATGCGTGATTTATTACGTCTAACGTGATTTCATTTCATTTCTTTATTATCAGATAATATAGATTATGTTGTTGATTGGAATCTTACTTGGTTCACTTTGAAATTCGAACCTTCTCATAACGCATCCTTCACTTTTGAACATGCTTTCGGCACTATACTTTCAAATTTAAACTTTTCGTAGATGAATTACCTGTATTGGAAAAGCTTAAAAGAGCTCACCCGGACTTATACTTGGACGAATTAACTTGCCGTTCCTGTATCAATCGCATGGAAGATTTGATGCACCTTTTTATGTGCAAAAAATGTCGTTTGCTTATGCAACAAATTCTACAAACTTATCAAAATCATTTGATCTCAAAAATTCATGAAGCTGGTAAAATAGCTGATATCAATTCTATTCCATTTATTACTAAACTTACCTCTCTTTCATGTTGGTCCTTTTTTTCTACTAATTGGTCCGGCTTCCTATGCTCTTATTCATGACTGTTTACCTAAACTTTTCGTTGACTTATTTGTCGATTTAACTATCCCAAGAAATTCTGCGATGAAGGTTGTCGCTGCTATCCATAATAATTTTGGTTAAAAATTCAGAAGAAGAATTTGGAATCCGCATTCTTATGAAACTTATCAATGGGAAAACGCAATGAACATTACTCATAAGTTGAAAACTACTCTGAGGTCATCTAATTTGCCAACATCAATGTACATCCCTTACTCATCTTTACCACCTTTGACCCTACACGATTTATGTGACTCCAGAACTGATTGGTTGAAAAACTTGATGAAATATGGTTTACCTTGGTTTAATCACTTTTTGGGTTTTATGGGTCGTCTAACAGTGCTATTTAATAACAGCTTTTGCAGGATAGAGTGTTGATTTTTATAGTGGGCATGCTATTTGTTATTTTGTTAGCATAGTTGCTTCTACTTTGGTTAAAATATATCAAGGAGGAAGATCTGGGGAAATTTAGTGTATTGCGATTTTTCTTTTTTAGATTAATTTTTTATTTTATTTTTTCTTAGAAGACTATATAGCTTTATTTTTAGTTAGTTTTATTTTTATATTTTTCCTTTTATTTGTTATAAATTGTAATAATTCGAATAAATTTAATAAAGATAAAGACTACTATACCACATTTGCCTATGATATATATCATGTACTTTCTCTCCCAATGAAAAATATGAGGATTTTTTGCCTTGAGTGATAGTAAAAGGACTTTTCGACGTTATATAAAGTTATTACTGAGGTCTTTAGTTTTGCCTGAACTTCTTACAGCTTATATTGAGTTAGGACCGTTATCATGAGTCTTGGAGTTACCAATAGTACTGTAAGATAGCAGTTCTATACGAACATTTTCCTGGACTTTCTGAAAGGTTAAAAAGTAGTGCGTCTTGATTTCTATGCCTTTAAAGTCTAACTGGCTAAGTGGTTCGCAGGCTGAACCAGTATTTTTTAGAAGAAGCTTTTAACCAATATATTATACATGCTGTCTAAATTATTTTGGAATGCCATAATTATAATTTGGAATGCCATAATTCATTCAGTTTATATATAATTTACTATATAAAGTGCCAAAATAATTTGGGATGTTATAATTGAATTTGGGATTTTACTTATAATTACAGCAGCCTAAAATAATTTGGGTGGTATGTATACAACGTATTTCTTGCTAGTTGATGTTATTAACGGAGGAATTAGTCTTCTAAAATAAGGAGACAGAGTTGAGGTGTATATTTGGTATTTTTTACTCAGATTTTTCTCATTGCACTTCGAGTTTTCCTGAAATTTATGTTTTTATTTTTTGCTTTTTATTTTTTTTGGTCACTTTTTTCAGTATAATCTTATTTTCTTTGGGGATGAAAGGATACTGGAAAATTTGATCGTCATGGTGGCTTGGTATTACAATTTTAAAATCGATGATCACTCAGGTGATAAGGGGGTGACTGGTTGGGTACCGCAGTTTTTGTAGTATGCTGATCAAGGTGG